ACAGATTTGTAATCTTTTAAATCAACAGAACATCGAGAACAACAACAATAGGAAGCAAAGCCACCGGAAAAAATTAAAACACTCAAAATAACCAACCAAATGGGCTACCGACAGACCGTCCGACCAGTTATCCAACGACCTCTGAACAAATTCCAAAACGAATTTTTTGGTACCCAAAAATAATATTTAATCCAAATAACAAATACAAAGAACGACACGTGCCCACAGCCCTCAAAGAGATAGATAGCTAGACAGATAGCATCTTCATGTATTTACTTTTCTTTAAAAGCTTGAAGCTGGCGTTTTTTCGTAATTGCGAAATTTATTCATTGCTAATGAAACGTTTTTTAAAAGCATTTTATTTGCTAAAGATTTTTGTGGTAACGTCTGAAAATTTGGTAATTAGTTTATTTACACCTGCGCAGTAAAACAGGGTGGGGAAATATTCAATACCAATAAATTGCAGAGCAATAGTCCCTAAAAAAATATTCTTTAAAAAACCCAGGTCTCATAGATGTCCCTGAAAAATATTCTTTAAAAAACCACGCCTCATAGAAGTCCCTGAAAAATATTCTTTAAAAAACCACGCCTCATAGAAGTCCCTAAAAAATATTCTTTAAAAAATCCACACCTCATAGAAGTCTCTGAAAAATTATCTTTAAAAAATCCACGCCTCACAGAGGTCACTGAAAAATATTCTTTAAAAAATCCACGCCTCATAGAAGTCCCTAGAAAATATTCTTTAAAAAATCCACGCCTCACAGAGGTCCCTGAAAAATATTCTTTAAAAAATCCACGCCTCATAGAAGTCCCTAAAAAATATTCTTTAAAAAATCCACGCCTCATAGAAGTCCCTGAAAAATATTCTTTAAAAAATCCACGCCTCATAGAAGTCCCAGAAAAATATTGTTTAAAAAATCCACGCCTCATAGAAGTCCCAGAAAAATATTATTTAAAAAATCCACGCCTCATAGAAGTCCCTGAAAAATATTCTTTAAAAAATCCATGCCTCATAGAAGTCCCTGAAAAAAATTCTTTATAAAATCCACGCCTCATAGAAGTCCCTGAAAAATATTCTTTAAAAAATCTAGCTATTTATATTTTAATATTCCTACCTCTTCCGCAAATTTATGCCGAATTTGCGTCAGACAAAATCTGAAGGTAAATTCAACTAAATTCCGCAAACAATGAACGTTGTGTGGCGCTCATTCATTAAAAATAAATTTTGCCAATTATAATTGGTTTAGTGGTTCTTAGAAATAATAAAAGCTCATTAATATGCCAATGGTGTTGCAATAAATATTGAGGGCTTGGTAAAGCCCTCTTTTTCATTGATGGACAAATACGAAATTATGTTGACAATATTAACACCCAAAACAATGGACAGTGGCTCAAAGTAATAACAACAAATATTGGATTTTTTAAAATTATTTTTTAGTGCCTTATATAAGGCGTGGATTTTTATACCCTACACAAATATGTTGTCAGGGTATTATAACTTTGTGCAGCCCCATACACCTTTAAGTATACCGATCGTCATATCTCGACTAGCTGAGTCGATCTAGACATGTGTGTCCGTCCGTCCGTCTGTCAATTATAATTTGTAAACACGATACAGGCCACGGTTATGGACCAATCTTCACGAAATTTTGCATGTAGGATGGGTTCTGGCCAATGAAGACCCCTATTGTTTTTAGAAAAGATCGGTTAACATTTAGGGGATCAAATGGAACAAATACTTAATTTTTTCGGTTATTGTGGATGCTCTAGAGGCCGCAATTATGACCCAATAATCGAATTTTTGCAAGGGGAATGGGATCGGGCCAAAGAATAAGCAGGTCTGTTTTGATAAAGATCGGTCATTATTTAATGGGTCAAATGCAACCTTACTTTTGTGTGAAAATATACAAAATTTTTATTCTGTAACGTTTATATTTACCCCTTAAGGACATAGACCCGAGATGTTGATAGTAAATCCAAGAGGAGTGGTTGACCTTTATATTGATATCAATTTTATTGTCATGTGTACTCGAATGTGGGAGTTACATTTAAATATTCACAGGTGCTTACGTATTCATATATTATTTAGCAACCCATTACCACACTAGAGGGCGGTAATATAGCGCTGATCGCTTTGAAATTTTCATAAGGATCCAGGCGTGGTCAAGGACAATGCCTATAATTTTCGGGGATGATCAGATAATAATAGTGGGATGAAGTGGACCGAAAACTTAATCTTTTGTGTTTTTACGAGGTGACCTACATGTCCAATTGAAAGCCGAACATCGCAACACAACCCACGCTGAAGGGAATCTGGATAAGTAATTAGAAGGGCTGTACTGAATATTAGTAATATTTGTCGGTCAAGAGGGTGCAAATATAGCGAAAAATTACCATAGCTGAAGTTAGATTTTCATGGAAGTTGTGTAGGGTATCGTATGGTCGGCCCCGTCCGACTATACTGCTCCGCTCACTGGTTTTTATACCCTACACAACTATGTTGTCAGGGTATTATAGCTTTGTGCAGCCCCAAAAGTTTGTAACGCCGCGAAATATTGGTCCTAGACCCACCTTTAAGTATACCGATCGTCATATCTCGACTAGCTGAACCGATCTAGACATGTGTGTCCGTCCGTCCGTCCGTCTGTCCATTATAATTTGTAAACACGATACAGGCCACAGTTATGGACCAATCTTCACGAAATTTTGCATGTAGGATGGGTTCTGGCCAATGAAGACCCCTATTGTTTTTGGGAAAGATTGGTTAATATTTAGGGGATAAAATGGACCAAATACTAAATTTTTGTCGGTTTTTCTGGTCGCTCTAGAGGCCGCAGTAATGGCTCGAACATCTCGAAATTTTGCATGGAGAAGGGGATCGGGCCAAAGAATAAGCATTCATGTTTTGATAAAGATCGGTCAATATTTAGCGGGCCAAATGGACCCTGACTTTTGTGTGAAAAATGACAAAATTTGTATTCTACAGCGTATATATTTGTACCTGATGATCATAGACCCGAGAAGTTGATTTTATTTCCAAGAGGAGTGGTTGACCTTTAAATCAATACCAATTATATTGTTGTATGTGCTCGGATGTGGCAGTTACACCCAAATATTTACAGGTATCTCCGTATACGTATATTATTTAGTAACCCATTACCATACTGGAGGACGGAAATATAGCGCTGATCGCTTTGAAATGTTCCATGAGGTTCCAGTTATGGTCAAGGACCACGCCTATAATTTTCGGTGATGATCAGATAATAATTTTGGAATAAAGGGGACCGAAAACTTAATTTTTTGTTTTATATTCGAGTCGATCTATAGACCACAAATGAAAGCCGAAAGAATCTGGAATCTGGACAATAGCTGTACTGAATACTCGAAATATTCGGAAAATATGTCACGGTGAGGTGCTGTTTACCTCTAATCGGACAAGAGGGGGAAATATCACGAAATATTGCCCAGGCTCGGAATAAACATCCGCAAAAAAATTTGAGTTCCGTGGTAGTTGTGTAGGTATCGTATGGTCGGCCCCGTCCGACTATACTGCTCCGCTCACTGTTTTTATTATATTTTCAATGGTCTATCATAAGGCGATCTTTGTGCACATGTTTGTAACAGGCAACAAACGAGATAGACACATGGTTCCTTGTGAGAATAAGCATAGAATCGCTTTTTAGTCGATTTATGCATGTTCGTTCGTCCGTCTGTCCGTGTGTTGGTGTTAAATTGTAAACAAAGTTCAGGTCGCATTTATAATTCAATTTGAATGAAATTTGGTACAGCTCATTTGTTTGGCTCAAGGACGAACCCTATTGAAATTGGAAAAAAATGGATTCAGATTTAGACATAGGTCCCATATATATGTTCGTCCGATTTAAGATAAATGGTGCACCAAAGTACCTATATATCTTTCGATTTGCACGAAATTTGGCATAGGGTACTGTATTGAGTGTAGAAATATGTGTGTTAAATTTTATGAAAATCGGTTCAGATTTAGATATAGCTCCATATATATATATATATATATATATATTCGTCCGATTTAAGGTAACTAGTGCACCAAAGTCCCTATATATCTATCGATTTGCACGAAATGTGGCACATCGTAATGAATTAGGTATGGAATGATGTGTGTTAAGTTTCGTGAAAATCGGTTCAAATTTAGATGTAGCTCCCATATATATTTTCGTCCGATTTAATGTAAATGGAGCACCAAAGTCCCTATATATCTTTCGATTGACACGAAATTTGACATAAGGTACTGAATTAGGTCCAGAATGATGTGTGTTAGGTTTCGTGAAAATCGGTTCAGATTTAGATATAGCTCCCATATATATTTTCGTCCGATTTTATGTAAATGGTGGACCAAAGTCCCTAATTTCAGTACGTTGATTGACACAACGTACTGAAATTAGTATTCCTTCGAAAAATCGACGTCTGTTAGGATGCATATGTATATTATACTCAAAGTGGTGAAGGAAGGCCCAGTCCGACTTTATTACTTTCCTTACTTGTTTAAGAATTATTTTTGGGGTCCATTAATTATTTGTGATTTTTTTTTTTATTTTATTGCCTTTGGTTCCACTGTCCATTATTAAATTGACCACAAAACGATGATTAATATTTTTTGCGGGACAATTTTTTTCGAACTTCAGATAACAAACAGCACCCACAATTCAAAATATACCCAAACAACCGACCAAAAAAATTCCCAACACGTGCATTATGTTAACAAGTATTATAATGAAATTTGAACAATTTTGAATAAAAATATTTGAAAAAAATAAATTGCAAAAATTAAAAAAAAATATATTTTTTACAAAATAGAAAAAAATATAGGTAAACAACAAGTCCACGATTTGAATATTAAAAAAAAATAATATTGAAAAACAAAAAAATATTAAAAACAAATATCACCCCCCAATATCGTCACTCTGTGCGTGCGTGTGTGTGTGCGTTTGTATCTCTAGCTATTTCTGCGATCGCCTTCGGTCATGCGTGATTTGTGTATAACCATTGTTGAGGAGCATACGAAACGTTTAAGTCGCAATTTGGCCTTAACACAGACCAGACGCCGTACCATAACATTTGAAAATCCGCCACAAAATAAGGTTCTGGAAATAACACAACCGAATTCGAAGACGACGATTATCACACAACCGAAATCGCTGAAAAAATCTATTTGTACAACAACAACGACCACGGAGAGGTCATTACGTCCGGCAAAAAATCCAATAACCTCCACAGTGACCACCACAACAGTTGATGTGCCGTATAAAAATTTTAAAATTTGGACCGATTACGATCAAGACGAAAATCTCCAACTTCACATAAAGGAGCAGAAGGAGAATCGGAAATTGGAAGATCGCAGAGACGTGGCCATGCGGACCATATGATATTGGGATGAAAAGGAAGTCGAAGAGCGTCCATCAGATAAAGGTTCAAAATTAATAATTGATTTGAATTAAGTTCTCTACCCGTAACAACTTCTAATCTTCATTGCTGCCTGAAATTCGTTTTGTAAGTATTTTTAAATAGCTTAAGTTTATTTTTAAGCCCATGCCAACCTTAAAGGAATTTAAAAATAACTTCCTGGTAGAAAAAAATTCTTCTAAAGGTCACTTCATACAAGAAAAATACAAATAGAAATAAGGTCATCGAAGTCAAATGGGTGTTAAAAGTAGAATTTAAACAGCGGGAAATATAAACAACAATAAAATGGCCTCAATTTTTTGTGATCCTATACTCCTACTTGTTTGAATCGTTTGAATAAATGGTCACTTTTCCCCTAACCCAAGCCATACCAACCTACCCAACCCTCCCCTTCTCTATCCTACCCTTACCTGCCTTTGCTATTTTTCCTCCACTGACCACCAGGAATGACAACAATTGAATTTGGTCTATGGAAAACCCCATTGTCGTTAGTCATTGTCGCCATAGTCGCCGTTTACGAAGTTGTCTTCTTCTTCTTGCTTTTTTGCTATTCTATTATGCAAATGTCTTAGCCATAATGGCAACAATTGTTCCACATGACCATTTCTAGACCATAATTTATGGTCACCCCAATGGAGTCGACATTAAAGCCTTTTGGCGCTTAACGGAGGGGGGTCCCCCTCCCTTTGTACACACATATGGCCCCAAAAAGAAGGTCAAGAAAATAATTCTATTTTATGTGTATTTACATAGGAATTGAACAATAGGAGGGGCAAAAATGTCAGGAGGCTTATTTTCCGAAAAAACGGAAAATGTGACTAAATAAAAAAAATGGTAATGGACAAAATAGTCATATTTCAGCAGGTGTTTGATTAATAATTATACAAAAATACTATTTCTCATAGGAGGAACCCCAAACCACTCACTTTTTCAAAGGTCCATAAGATTGTTTAAAATTATTTTTTCAAGGCTCTACTTCAAGGATCTAATATTAAAATTCCTAGATCCGTAGGAGGTGTGGATTTTTTTAAATTCAAATTTCTATTTCCATTTTCAGGAATCTAACCAAGACGTGGATTTTTTAAAATTAAATTTTCAAGGTCCATATGAGGCGTGGATTTTTTAAAATTATATTTTCAAGGTCCATATGAGGCGTGGATTTTTTTAAAATTAAATTTTCAAGGTCCATATAAGGCGTGGATTTTTTAAATTAAATTTTCAAGGTCCATATGAGGCGTGGATTTTTTAAATTAAATTTTCAAAGTCCATATGAGGCGTGGATTTTTTAAATTAAATTTTCAAGGTCCATATGAGGCGTGGATTTTTTAAAATTAAATTTTCAAGGTCCATATGAGGCGTGCGTTTTTTAAAATTAAATTTTCAAGGTCCATATGAGGCGTGGATTTTTTAAAATTAAATTTTCAAGGTCCATATGAGGCGTGGATTTTTTAAAATTAAATTTTCAAGGTCCATATGAGGCGTGGATTTTTTAAAATTATATTTTCAAGGACCATATGAGGCGTGGATTTTTTAAAATTAAATTTTCAAGGTCCATATGAGGCGTGGATTTTTTAAAATTAATTTTCAAGGTCCATATGAGGCGTGCGTTTTTTAAAATTAAATTTTCAAGGTCCATATGAGGCGTGCGTTTTTTAAAATTAAATTTTCAAGGTCTATATGAGGCGTGCGTTTTTTAAAATTAAGTTTTCAAGGTCCATATGAGGCGTGGATTTTTTCTCTCAAACACTCCAAGAGCTGCCTCATCTGCTTGTGTAAGTACCCATGCTTCAGATCCATGTAACAGCACGGGTAGTATCAGCGTCTTGTGTGAGTGTGAGTTTGGTCTGGCTTTGTTTCTAAACTGCTTACTTAGACCATAGTAGCAATCCTTCTCCGAATTTCAAAACTGATGTCATTCGTTTTATTTATGGCGGTACCAAGGTATACAAAATCTTTAACTACCTCGAAGCGGTAGTTCTCAAGTACCACAGTTGGTCCGAGTCTACTAGACGTCTTGCGAGTTGATACCATCAGCTTGGTCTTCTCACCGTTTACTGCCATTCCCACTTTGGCAGACTTCTTCTCAATCTGTTCAGAGGTGGCTGTTACCGCTCACAATGTTCGACCCATTATATCGATGTCATCGGCGATGTTAAAAAGATTACACGACAAGCTGTCACCTTGTCTGAATCCTAGTTCGGTATTGAAGGGCTCCGATAGGTCCTTTCCGACTTTAACTGCCGACCTTGTGCCACTCAAAGTTATCCTGCATAGCCGTATTAATTTTGCAGAAATTCCAAACGCAGGCATGGCTTTATACACCTCAGAACGGATAGGGCTGTCGAATGCGACTTTATAGTCGACGAATAGTTGGTATGTGTCGTTGTGTTTTTCGTGGGTCTTTTCCAGGATTTGGCACAGAGGGCAAATCTGGTCATGATGGATTTTTCAGGTTTGAAGCCCCATTAGTATGGTCTAATAATGTAATTGACCATTGGCTTCAATCGTTCACACAGCACACTGGATAGCACTTTATATGCGATGGAAGAAGGCTAATTCCTCTATAGTTGGCACATATCGTCTTGTCTTCTTTTTTGTGCACAGGACACAGGATGCTGAACTTCCAATCATTGGGCATGCAGTCCTCTAGCAAAATTGTACTAATCAGCTGATGCATGCTTCTGACCAGCATCTGATCACCAGTCTCGAATAGTTCGACGGGTAACCCATCGGCTCCTGCTGCTTTGTTGTTCTTGAGCCGATTAATTGCTTTTATGACCTCATATTGGCTAGGTGGTATACACTCTATACCATCATCTCTTATTGGTTCTGGGGTATCCTCTTCACCGCCACTATTTGATACCAGAAGCTTTTCAAAATGCTCCTTCCAGATCCTCAACACGCTGTCGGTATCTGTCACCAGATTTCCTTCTTCATCTCTACAGGAGGATGTGCCTGCACCAAAGCCTTCGGTTTAGGATTTTACCCGTTGGTAGAATTTTCGGACTTCGTTCTGACTCATGTACATCTCGATTTTCTTACGCTCACGTTTTTATTGTTATTTCTTCTTTTTTCTGAAAAGACGTTTCTCCTCTCTCCTTCTCTCCCGATTATTCTCCATCACATTACGTGTTGCTACTGCCCGCAGGGTTGGCCTATACGCCGCGTTTTTCATATCAGTATCTGTTGTGTTTGCAGCTTTTCGACATCAAATTTCCGTGTTACATTAGATCGAACCTTTGCTGCTACATTAAGACGGGTGCATACCTTGGCTGCCACAAGGTAATGGTCCGAATCGATATTAACGTCTAATACACTGGATGAATGCCTTCCGTTTATCACAACATGATCAATTTGATTTCTCGTTGCTTGATCAGGAGAAATCCTGGTGGCCTTGTGTATATCTAGATGCTTGAATCTGATGCTACTCACTACCATGTTTTTGCTGCCGTGAAGTCAATCAACCTCATGCCGTTGTCGGATGTTTCTTCATGAAGGCTGAATTTTCCGACGGTGGGGCCAAAGGTATTTTCCCTTCCGATATTTGCATTAAAATCGCCTAGCAGAATGTTAATGTCATGTCCAGGGCAGCGGTCCTATGCAGTTTCTAGGCGCTCGTAAAATATGTCTTTGGTCTGCTAATCTTTGTCTTGGGTCGGTGCAAATAAGACTGATGTAGAAGAACTTCGCTTTTATGCGGATTATAGCAATTCGCTCATCAACTGGATTGAATCTGGATACGAGGTCTTTTATTCCTCATATATAGGCCTTGAAAAAAAAAATGATGTAAAAATCCACGCCTATATAGGGCTTGATAAAATGTATTTAAAAATTTCACGCCATATATGTTTTTAAGTACTCTTAATATTGTGTTTTAATATTATTTTTCCGGTACCTTGATTTTGGTCGCCGAAACATGCACGGATTTAAAAAATGTTTTTAAACTTTTATTTTAGTAAAAAAAAATATTTATATTTTCTTTGTCATTGTATTGGGTTTCTAGTGAAAGCTTTTTCAATGAATTTTAATTAAATTTAAGTTTTATTTTTATACCCTCCACCATAGTATAGAGGGTATATTAATTTTGTTCTTCCGTTTGCAAATCATCGAAATAATCATTTCCTACACCATAAAGTATATATATTCTTGATCAGCGTAAAATTCTATGACGATATAGCCATGTCCGTCTGTCTCTTGTAATCACTGTAGCGTCTAAACGAATTGAGATTTTATCTGCAGGCAGGTCAAGTTCAAAGATGGGATTTATCGGTCCACGTTTAAGCATGGCTCCCATATAAGGGTACCCCCAAATTTCGGTATTTTGGGGTTCTTGAGAGCGTTTTCTAACCGAATTCGCTGAAACTTGGTAAATTGGGTTCTTATTGGGTACTTAATGTCACCACAAAAAATTGTAAATATAGGTCCACTTTTTCTGGTATACCCCATATAACGGTACTTCCTAATTTTCAGTATTTTGGGGGTTTTGGTCGTATTTTTCCACCGAATTGGCTGTAATTCTTAATAGGTTCCAAATCACAAAAGTTATGAATATAGATGCTTTTTTTTCTGGTAGCCCCCATATAAGGGTACCCCCAATTTTCGGTATTTTGGGGTTTTTTAACCGAATTCGCTGAAATTTGGTACATTGGGTTCTTATTGGGTACCAAATATCTCCACTAAAAATTATAAATATAGGTCCATTTTTCTGGTAGCCCCCCATATAAGGGTACCCCCAATTTTCGGTATTTCGGGGTCCTTGAGTGCGTTTTTCAACCGAAATGGCTGAAATTTTGGTATATTGGGTTCTTATTGGGTACCAAATATCTCCACTAAAAATTATAAATATAGGTCCATTTTTTCTGGTAGCCCCCATATAAAGGTACCCCCAAATTTCGGCATTTTGAGGTTCTTGAGCGCGTTTTTCAACCGAAATCACTGAAATTTGGTATTTTGTAGCCGTATA